CATTATGACGTCATATTTTAGTACTTCAGAGAGTGCACTGTCATATTCTACGGGAAGCCTTAACCTACCTGCGTAGAAAAATATATCTGGCGGCTGCCAAAAAGTTTTCCTGTGGCCACCACATAAATAACTGTCGGAGGCCAAAAACTTATCTGACGGCCACGACAATAATAACTAGAAGTCGCCAAATGAGATTCTTGCAGTGTAAACATGTAATCTAATAAAACATAAAGGATGATGTGACATAACTGCTATCTGGGGCCCCTTTTTCTACGACGAATTATATTTAATCTACAACGATTTTGATAATTTTCATACATGAATGAATAAATACGACGCCTTTTGAATAGTTTCAATAGTTCCGACAAATTTTAATTATAAGGATTACTGCATTATCTATGATTTTTTTACCCTATGACAGCAAAATTCGGCCTGGTTTGTGATAATACGTTCTTTTATGAAAAGAGAATAGGCGGGTCTTAGTACAATAGAGGGATATTCATGTTTGAGGAATCTACCTTATATGGCTATTGTTATTATTTCGCACATAGTCGCTTACCGAGAACAATTGTCCAATCCGATGACAGAACGGCAAAACATGCTGGTTTACTACGCTTACATTTTATCACAGACACGTGGTTTAGGTCAATTTACACAATATCTCTACTACATTTCAAACTTTTAATGGTCAGCGAAGGCTACTTATACATAATAATACGCATGGAACCACAGTGTTTACCGTTTAGGGTCAAGAAATGAACATGAAACTTCTATTCACTGATTCTCGGGAATACTTGTAGACCTAGCGAATTGCCCACTGAACGCTTTACAAAACTTTTAACTATGTATATTTATAAATCAATTGTTTGTGAATATGAGCTGGGAAATTGTAGATCCGTGTCTAATCTGTGACTCAAATGCATTAAAAATGTTTATCGGAAAGCAGGTTAAAAAAAAACCCAATCTTTTTTCCAAGCATAAAATGTCCTTAGTATTTTTGTGGTACTCACTAGTTATGCAACTCATTTAGCTTATTGGTCAGTTAGAAAGTATCGCCAGTGCCTCGATTAGCATATGAATTTATTCTTACGTCAGAAAAAAAAGTTTCGTCGATCTGTTTATAATGGGAAAGGCCAGCTAGATTTTACATTATTTTTTAAAAACAACATGTGAGCGCAGTTAGATTCATTTTTCTCCTTTCACATATAGATAGATTTCAATAAAAGACAGTGACCAGCCAAAGGAGAAAAATGTACCTACTTGCGCTCGTATATTTTAAGGGCTTCAAAGAGCGAGGCGGGGCCAAAATTCAATGGGAATTGGATGTAAACATGGTACCCCTACTCAAAAGAAAGACATATCTCTTCCAAATCATGTTTCTATTTTCGGTAAAAGTAGTTTTGTCAATTTACCGGGGGCCGTATGTCACATCATCCTTTAAAGGGAAAATTAACTTTATGAAGCGATTTTTTGTGCGAAGTGTAGATTTGATCTTTGGTAATAAGGCATGAAAGTACCAGATTTGACTACAAATTGAAGTTGTAGGTGTCGTTAAAGCAAAAAACACTACAATTTTATCTGGCGCTCACCAGATATTTCAATGACAGGCGTTAGAAACTTATCTGGCAGCCGCAGGAAAATTATATGATAAATATATGGGCGCTTCTCTAGCATGTTGGAGCTTGGATTTCTATTTACAAGAAATATGCATGATAAATAAAGTTAAGGAATGGACTTGCTCCAAAACTTATTTTTTGTTCAGCCAGTCGGAAAATGTAAGGAAGATTCAGCATCTGAACCATGTCTGGTAGTGTGCAATCCTAGATGAATCATCAGTGCAAGTTTGGTCACGATAGGACTTATAGTTACATAAGAATGAGAACCGCTTCAAAATCTTTAACCTGCTCACTCATTAAGAAAATGTAGGTCAGATCCAGCACCTGAAGCAAGTCTGGTAGTGTACATCCGAAGATTCATTGTGAAGCAAGTCTGGTCAACAAGTGCTTACAGTTGCTCTGCTCCAAAAACTTAAACTTTTACCTTTTGGCTGAAAATGCACTGAGCATCTGAAACCTGACTGGTGACAAGGAAACACACAAGATTAGGTGACTCTAATTAATATAGGGGGCATAGATATACTCTGCTTCAAAAACCTTTACCTGGAACACCGATGCCGACGGTATTACAAAAGCTTCCCCATCATGGAGGTGAGCTAAAAATGTGACGTTAGCGTTATGCGTTGGCGACGAAAAAAGTATTGTTATGAAGATAGGATACGATAATGTTTTCTATTGTTAATATTATTATCGAGAATCTTCTTTGATTTAAAAAAAAAAATGTTACTTTTAACACAGAGTCAGAACAAGAAACCAGGAGCTTCTAATTTTAGTTATGCAAATTTTATGCAATTTTTAATTGTTGGATATGAAGTGCACACGCGACACTCATCATATTTCAAGATATTAGTGATTTAGTGTGCATGCAGAGTACATGTATATCTAATTACTGAGCAAATTTAGGTGAGTGTCTCTCATGCAGTGTCCCTCATGCACTTCATATTCTAAACATCGATTTATAAATGCCACCCTCTTATATTTTCGCATAAGTCTAGAATGTTAACGCATCTGAGGGTACATCTAAGTATGTGTCAGCTACGGTGTGAATTAATCTCATGTTAACTTTTGAAATATAAATAACAAAAGTTAATATATTTATCTTCAATTCTAAACTAATTTTGAAAAAATAAATCGAAATTGTTTTTTTTTTTACGAAAAACAGTGGGCCGCTGAGTGACCTTATCGAAACACCCCCTTTACAAAGGAAAGAGAAGACCTAGACAGGGGTTCACAGTAAATTTGAAGGCGGTGCTTATTTTCTCCCCTTTAACTTAATCTCATCTAAAGTAAAACATTTTACAAATATGCCTGATATAAACAAAAATTATTCTGGATTCTAAATTGTGAGGAATTAAATATATAAATTCTCTTGGAAGATTTTTACAAAAAGCATAAGTCTTAGGCATGTAAACTGTTTTATGATGAATTACCAGGTATGTACATGTGCTTTCATACGTGTATGCTATAGAAAAGAATTTATTTGCCAATCATGGTCCCACTGGGGGCATAACATATAGATACAAGCATATTTTGTAACACTCAAGAGGACAAAAAAATACATGAACATACAGCAATAAAGAACATAAAAATACTAGATGTTGAGTCTAAGCAAAACAGAGTTGATGAATAATTTCAATTATCTCCCTTACACCAGGAAGCCATATATGGCATTACAAATGACTCCCTAAACTACAAAAGATTTCAATGGACAGTGCTCTAGGAAATACATGTCTCAGAAGTGTAACTGTCTGGACAGCATTCCTCCTCATAACTTATGTAGAACAGTAATTCAATAATGTATGTATCACATAAAATAGAGAAAATGTACATAATCGAAAAATTTAAACAAATTTTACCATGGTGAGTGTATAAATGTAAATAGATTACAAGATAAAGGTGCATTAATGGTTGCCAGTCTACAGAAGACATCAAGGGACGGTGCTCTAGGAAATGCATGAATTCTAGTCAATTAAAAAAAAAAAACATGAATAAAAGGTTGCATTCCTCCTCATGTCTAATGTAGATAAGCAAAATGAGCACAATTATAATTAACAAAATGTAGCAATATACAGTAATATTGTTTAAAAATCATATACAGTGTTTTGATATGAATTGACTTAATATTCTTAAGATTGACTCATTTTCATTTGAATATACCCATATAAGCTTCTCATTAAAATCAAGATTAGGGAAATTTGTACATAATTCTGAGACAGATTTTAAGAAAATTTCTCGTTCATCTTTGAATTTAGTGCATTTGAAGAGAAAATGTATGCATATATATGATGTATATATATATAAAACAAATATTTTTGCTCAAAACTTAATGTAAACGTATATGTATAAAAACTGTCTGGTTTATTTCTCCTTTTTATGTCTTTTTCCTATTAATCATGGAACTCTTTTTCAGGCCCGTAGGAAGCAATTTCAGTGGGGGGGGGGGGGCACAACCAAACATTTTTCAGTTGACAGTTGAGGGGCACTACCAAAAATTTAAAAATTTCCTGTCAAGCCAAAAAAAAAAAAAATTCCTTGACAAGCAAAAAAAAAAAAAAAAGGGGGGGCATCAGAGGTTTTTATTGAGGGGGCACAAGCATATAATATCTATGTTTACTATAGTAATCTATATATCGGCAAAATTATTGGGGGGCACGCCCCCCCCCCCGGTTCCTACGGCCATGTTTTTCTCTTGTATGTATGTATATTGTATTACATTTATATGAAAATATACAGGTGTTTACAACGTGCTTTCTTTTTGTCCCATGAGGGCCCTTAATTGGTAAATGAATTGAATATAGAATTATAACAATAAAGAGGAGGGAGGGTGGTCTACCCATTCCGAGGTGTATCTGTGAAAGGCCCGAGGTGTTCCGGATCTTTTCTGTGACATCGGCGCATGCCTCATTTCCTTCCCACGATGTCAACAAGGACAATGTAATATACATACGTGTTCAGAAGTTTTTACGTGGGAAAATAAGGATATATTTTTACTTTTTAAACAGCACCGTAACTTGTAAATTCACAGTGGTTTGTATAAAAACTCAGTTTTGTCACTGAGTCTATGCTGAACTTTATATTTATCATTAATTTCTAAATTTTAGGCTTAGAGGTCACAAAATATAATTTGATAAATATATTAATTTATAAAATATGTTGATTTTAATATTGAACTTTAAATAAGGTGTAGTATAGACCCATGTAACTCACTGTATATATTCCGTCCACTGTATTTTAAAAAGCAAAATAATCTTTGCATTTAAAGTAAAGGTCAGAAGAGACAGCATTATAATTTTATAGTTGTCTCTCTTCGTCAAGTGGACAGCGCACGTTTCGATAGAGGATCTGAATCATGTCGGTTTTGGCGGACTTCGGAAACAGTAACAGTCCCTGCTGTATCCAGGACTTAGTATGTTTATTTTACCAAAATAATTCAAAGGAATAAAAGTTTATCGATGATTTTGGTAAAAAAAATTTGGAATAGTTTCCATTTTTATAGATACATATAATTTTAAAAGAAACTCAAGAAAATATTTTTTTTTATTTGATTAATTAGTGTTTAGATTCTAATTCTGGTATGTATTGTTTCTTTTAAGGCAACTTGCTACAAACAAACCTTTTTTAATTAATTTTTTTGTAAGTCTTTGTTGATATAAGTAAAATGAATTAGCCACATTAAGTTTATTTTTTTCAAAATTTCTCAATAGTGTCCAATAAAATGATAAAAAGAATTTGAAAATCTAAAAAAAAAAAAATGAAATCTACAATTTCTTTATATTATTTTAGGACTTTGGTATTTGCATAATTAAAAACAAAAATAAGTCCAAAAATTATGTATATACGAATACCATCCATCTTTTTGTTTGTAGCAAGTTTACTATTTGGATTTTTTCTCTTTGAAGTTGTTTTGATCATAGTATTTTTATTTTTTATATTTTTTTGTGTCTGTATGATGTTCTTTCTATTTCTTCACACATTATGGAGTTTATGGTTTCAATTCATAGTTTATATTATTTTTGAAATTCGTGATGTACATCAGAAAAATTTGCATTAGCGGTCAAAATTGCAACATAAATAGAAAGAAATTTTTAAAAAGAAACGCTATAATTATTTATTTTAAAAAATTCTCATTTTCAGCTCAATTTCAAAATGATCTCCGAGAATTCGCGATTCACATATATGTAATTATGCTGGTCTACATTACTCACAAATCTTTTAAAATATTGTAAGAATTGGAACTAAATGCTAATGAAAACATGTATATGATAAAAGTCAAAAAAGAAAGAAAGTAAGAAAAAAGAAAAAAAAAACAGAAAAACATAAATTATGCAAAAATATAAAGTTTATCGTCAAATTAAGGTAAATTTTTATGCACAGATTATTGTATAGATACAATGTATATTTTAGGCCATTGTCCTGGTTTTGGAGGTTGCAGTGATGCAATTTCAGATTCTGTGGGTGACATGTACACCGGGGAGTGGGCGTGTCTGAGCACGGAGAGTATCCTTGCTGATTCGGTCTCCTCCGCCACTAGTTTAGCTACGGTCAGAGACTCGGAGTTCTATTTAAAATCATATCAAATTGGAGATGAAAGTTCATAAAAGTTGATCTTCAGTAATGCTTAAATCTGGCTTCTTTAGTATTACACTGTGCAGAAATTGTAATTAATTTCAATAAAATTATATTCTTAAAATTTTTGAATTAGAAGATGGTAGTTTTGATTATTTCCTTAATCAAAACTCTCCATGAAGTATAATTACATTGATACGTATGTACGTGATTTTCTCTTTCTAGATAGACATAAGCAGCTGTGATGACCAATACAATACTCTGATACAACAGTTGACCTTTATGATACCACAGAGCTTTCTGGACACGCCAATTGATGAAGTATGCTCCATGTATATAGATACATAAATGTACATGTACAGTCAAGAAGGGAAAAAATCATGTTTTGGTTACAGGTGCCGGTATAAACATACAATGTAATGTAATCCTTATTCCTTTTTTGTATATTTAATATACAACTGAAATTGCTGGTTGCCTTTAAAAACATGCATTTATAGTTATATGGTATTTACGTTTGAGCCAACGTAACGTAATAGAAAACGATGATTTCAAATTCCTCTTCAGATTATGACACTTATGCTAATGCAAATTAGAATTCTTTTGGTGGTAATCGATAAAAATATGGACTGCGTCTCTTTTTTTAAATACAAAATAGAGCTAATTTGACCAAAAACACGACAAATACTAGTAATGATAAATTTCTGTTGAAATAAGTTTCAGTGTTTTTTTCTTCTTCTGGATATTGCAGTTGTCTGTCGTCAGAGGTGCATCGGACTATATTGCCCATCTTCGACAGATTTTGAATAACAAAAACTCGACCGAGAGTACATCTGAACCGGAAGTGGGGAGAGAAAGGGTGTTCGTTCCTCAGTCCGGTACAGATCACATGCGTTACGTTCAGACCGGAAGTGCAGTCTATGACGAGGACACGTCAGATGTATGGAACCTGGAGTATGGTGAAGAGGACGGATGGCCCAAATCGCCTTTCAAGTTTCCATGTCCCGTTTTTGAAAATCAGCTTGCATTAACGCCCACGGCGTCCATTCCTCACCCAGTTGCTTTATGGCAAAACAAGTTCTCTGATACTTATCCCAACAAGCGACTTATCAATCAGATTCAATTGCACGAAGAACAGCAATGTTATCCTCAGGAAATTTCCCATAGAGTTAATGACGACGGTGAAAAGAAAGATCCAAGCACACCCCCAAGAAGACGGATGAACTCGTACACGGTTCTAAATGACCGTACTTTTTCAGAAACAGTCCCTTATTCTGGGGCGAGTCATGGTTTCACTAATGAAAATGTCATCGAAAAGGACACATTCCTCACGTCTGATGGCAGCAAACGAGGTGATGATGACCAATTCACCAGAATCAAAGATCCAGGACTTAGAGAATGCCTTACCTCTGCAATCTACAGTAGTCATGGAATGGCCTCCCTGGAAAAATATCCCGTTCTTTCATCTCTTCTGGATGAAACAGGTTTGTTTTGCAATTGAGATTTCTCTCAAACTCTTGTTGTTTCTTTTACGTGTCATATATTTAGATTGTATAAACCAATGATTATTGGATAAGGTAATTGTTCATTATTATCTACAATATCTATAAACTCATAGATATAATGATGTAGGTACCCGTAACACTGAATGCAGCTGCAAACATGGCACTGCCACCACTCTTGGATCCACCGTCAGAAAACATGCAGTAAGCTGGGTAAACTCTGAATCATTAGTCTCGTCAGTGAATTGTTTTGATGGATGGCGATTTTCAGGGAAGGATGATGAAGTTGAAGATGATGACGATGACGTATTTTTCCCGTCAAATCAAACCGAACCTGATTCTACCACTGATAGACATTGCAAAGATAAAGGCAGAGGTACAGGTACCCGTTGGTTGACTTAAAATTACCTTCTCTTTATTCGTTTCATTTTAAAATGTATTTAGGATTCGAAACAACTTTTGTTATTTTTCACCGGCATGGTCAATTGGAATATTCCAGAAATATTTAGCCGGTGAAATAATAAATTTCAATGACCCATTTAACCATTGAAAATAAAGAAGTACCAATCCTAATTTTAGAAACAATTCTAAACAGCTTTATTATGTTTGTACAAAAAGATATCCATCTTTCAGCTTTAAACAACAGTTTACTTCAATATAAACTATTTCAAACGTTTTATTAATAATATTTTTCTGACAGTTGAAAGCCAGGCAATTAAAACACTTTATTTCTCGTTATCATATTTACAAGAGAGTTAGTGTGTGTAGTAGTGTTTCATGGGAAATTTTTATAATGATCACCCCTTTAGAGGTCAGACTTAGATACTGACCTGAAATGTTAAAGAGTTAGATGTTTTACATGTTGTACTTTACAAAAAAACCCAGTATATTAACAAATTCCACTGGCCCGGGGTATTATCTGCAAAGTTCTGTTTTTCGTCATACAGGCTTATGAATATATTGGGTCTGGCCCTATGCATACTTAATCAGGAGTTAAAGCTATATATACTGAAAAGGGATAGGACTTATCCAACATGAATAATACTGGGGAAAAAACCTATCTTTTATATGATCATGATTTTTCTTTATTTTTGCAGTAGAAATTATAATGTTTCTGTCTTTAAGGTTCTATACATGGGTTTACAAAGTAATCGACGCTGTAACTGGCATGTAATATATCTATATATATTTACATTTCCAATGTCTTTGACCGAGATAAAATTACAAATTGTAAAAATACTTTATTTCTGCATAAATCTACTGGTTCATCGATAGGCGCGGTTAAAAAAAATCACGTGCAGGGCGGGACAAATAGAGACAGAAGCGGGGCTATTAGCACGGGAATTTGCAGAATCAGGAGCATGTAAATATAAGGAATAACTGTCAGATTTTTTGGATTCATGACGATGATCAATCGATTGGCTTGCGTAATAATTTTATGCATAAACGCCTTCGGCGTTTATGCAAATTATCACGCAAGCCACTCGATTGATCACATCATGAATCCAAAAAATAAGACAGTTATTCCTTAACAGAAATACGTGATATCTGTAAAGAATCTGGGGGAATAAGACGAGCCATGTGCCCATGCCCATTTTTCGGCTATGCAAGAACATTTATTGGAAAAAATCTCTCAATTGTTCGAATTTACTTAAGCATTTTAATGTTTACAGTAGTTCTCAAAATGATATTTATATTCTAAACAAGCTAAACAGTTGACTTTCATTTACTGTCACAAGTGTCTAACATGGGTAGGGACTTCTATTAATTAATCTGCATATTGAGTGTTAACACTTATTGTGGAGATAATATACAAATGTTAACATTGTATATAATGATAGTGGTGATCTAGAAGCGCTTGTGGTAAAAATAAATAAAAACGGGAATAAAGGTATTCAAATATCTATTATAATTTTTATCCGGCATTTTAAATAATTTACTGTAAATGAGTTCATTACTACATATATATATATATATATATATATATATATATATATATATATATATATATATATATATATATATATATATATATATATATATATATAATTTCCAATGAAAAATATGTTATTCCTATAGACATTTTTTATAAAGTTCAACAAAATTAACCCCCTCCCCAAAAAATAAAAAATGAAAAAATCATGACTCGAACACTTTCCTCAATAAACGTCCCTTTAAATAGCTCCTCGCTAACCACTATACCACGGAGTCACACATACATACCCATTTAAATAGCATACAGTTCTCTATATTTAGCAAGCGTATTTGGACTTAGAATTTTTTAAGACCACGGTGAAAATTTAAGTAAGTTAACTTAATTTTTTATGTAGAGTGGGTCTTCGTACCAAATTTTTGCAAGTGTAAAAAGCAACATCTTTCCATTGCCTTTCATTAATCGTTCTCAAAAAATGGTACGATGACCCACTCTATTTAAAAAAATGTAGTTATATCATCCAATTTATGTCAGTTTTTGTGAAAATTGAGCGTGATGCCATTTTTTTGTGTTAATCAGAATCATTTTCGCTGTCACAGTATTCAGGTTTTGTCAAATTTGAATGCAATAGTAATAAACATTACATTAATTGAACAAAAAGTGAAATCTTTTTAAAATGAATTTACTGAATTTTTATCGATCGGTGTGTAGGCATATGGCTCGGCTTATCCCCCCAGTTTCTTTAACAAAGGGCTTGCGTCATTAATTAAATGTATGGATATTCGAGGAATAATAATTTATGTACAAACATATTGTACCAGTTTTATGACAGTCCCCAAAGCGATATGTATGATTGTTTATTATTGTCCATTCTATCACTTTGTAATAAAATAATATAAGAGGATCATTCTTGGCCTGCTATCAAAGGATATCAGGTCATGACCCTGAACACGGGCCCAGAAATGGAAAAATAATATTTGGATTGCATGAGTAGGTCACTGAGGATGCTGTAGAGGGTCTGTCAAGTTCCTGAGGAGGTGGTTCAGCCTTCAACTTATATCTACATCAGGCCTATGACATATAACAACCTTTGACATATAATAACCTATGACATTTAACAATCTTTGACAAATAACAACTTATTACATATATCAACCCATTAAACATAACAACGTATGACATATAGCAATCTATTACATATACCAACCTATGACATAATATATCAAACTATAACATATAACAACCTTTGACATATAACAACCTACTACATATAACAACCTATGAAAAATAACAACCTATGACATATAACAACTTATAACATATAACAACCTATGACATATAACAACCTATGACGTACAGCAACCTATTACATATAACAACCCATTACATATAACAACCTATTACATATAACAACCTATGACATACAGCAACCTATTACATAAAACAACCTATGACATACAGCAACCTATTACATATGACAACCTATTACATATGACAACCTATTACATATAACAACCTATGACATACAGCAACCTATTACATATAACAACCTATTACGTATATATATAGGATCTCCCATGATTTGTAGTTGGATATGATTTTTATCCAACGAGTTGTGTGTTTTTTATCCCCGAGCCTTGGCGAGGGGATAAAAACACACAACGAGTTGGATGAAAGTCATATCCAACTACAAATCATGGGAGATTCTTTTTATCCCATGTTAAATACTTCACATCCAATTTTTTACACTGTTTTATATAGGACTCCACTTTAATTTACTTCATCACTCTAACGCAAAAACCATTGTGACGTCACAACTGCACTTAACTGTGGAATATGAAAAACTTATCCAATGAGTCATATCCACGGGATAAAGGGGTAAACATGGGATAAAACAACCTATGACATACAGCAACCTATTACATATAACAAACTATGACATATAACAACCTATTACATTTATAAACCTATTACATATAACAACCTATGACATACAACAATTAACCTATTACATACATCTACCTATTAAATGTTAAGAAGATTATGGACAAAGAAATATGCATTTGTTTACTGATTTATTTTTTGAAACGACGGGTTCTTTTTTAAGCAATTTCAAAATATAACCCTACCTTAATTTGATAAGACCCAATTTGTGAGCATGTAATTACATTTTGTTCATACTTTATCAGGTCTACGAAGACCCAAAAATGGATTTATACGATTTTCTGTGGAGTATCGAAAGCGTTTGGCCAAACAACACCCGAAACTGGACAACCGAGAAGTGTCCAAAATGTTGGGCGCTAAATGGCGCAGGATGAGTCACGAAGAAAAAATACCATACGAGTAAGAGTTGTGTTAAATTATATATAATATATATAATATAAGTATATAATTTTAACCCCCCACCCTCATACCTCATCCCAAGCAAAAAAGTTTGTTTGATTGCTCTTTAGACCGAAGAAAAAGTGAATATCGGTCAGGTCGGATGTGTAAGCTAAATTAGGTTGTGGGTTTTCTTATGCAAAAGCTTAAGGTACAGCATTAAAAGCAAACACTATGATCTACTGTTTGACCCCCCTTTTTTTCTGAGTATAGTATGTTGCAATAGTACACTGGTTGCCCCCCCCCTTTTTTGTTGCAGTAAGGTCGAGCACTGGCAAATTCCAGGATTTGGACGGTTAATTACGGTTTTATTTCTTTTTTTCTCTTTTTTTTTTTAATTTGCTTGTCAGATTATATGGGAAGTTGGCCTCCTCACTTTTTGGTCAGTTTTGTTTTTTTGGGAACCCCCCCCCCTCCCCCTTCCACACACACACACACACTTTTGAAACCGTAGCTACGGGCCTGTCCAAATTGACAGGATTCCTAAATAAATATAAAAAAGTGAAATCAGGTTAAGTTATAAAAGCAACAGAAGCCCCCGAAAAAGACTCCAAAACCGGCGTTAAGTGCAGTCATCCTTTTATTTGAAGTGTTATGTGGTATTATCAGTTTATATCAAAAGAAGAATGTCGTGAGAATGTATACTATTTCAAAACGAAGTAGGTATCACATGTTTATTAAAATTAAATTTTATTTCGCTATCCCCTTAAAGTCGATTAGGGTTTGTACGTTATTTTTACTTATAGGATGGAATTCCGAAAAGATATAATGGAACTTCGCTCAAAACACCCCGAGTGGCGGTATGCACCTCTGAAACAAATGGAGACTGAACACATAGAACCCATGCCGAGCCGCTTAAGACCTCGGGATAAACTGAAAAAGAAGGTCGGTGGGTTTGAATAACTTTTAAAGAAGGTATTAGAAGTTTAAAATGAATAAACGTGTAATGAAATTAAGTCTTTTCCTTAAACAGGAATAATTTCAATTCTTGCCGATGATTAAAATTTAAAAAAAAACATTTTTTTTAAGTAAAAGTATTTTTTTAATCTTGATCGTAGATATTAGACTACATCACATAAATATTTCGTCAATCTGTGTATACTCTAGTTTCTACCAACCATTATCAAGTATGGTCCAGCAATCTCGGAGAGGAAGCAGTCTCGTGTTCCGCGCAAGAAGCGCGGGAAAATGGCGCAGTACAGTACGTACAACTCCTTCGCCTGGTTCCAGTGCAAACTCTGCTATCGGTGGAGATATGTGCCCTGCATTGATGATGGGAATTTGCCTCTATATCAGTCTATGTGGTCAGTACACCTCTGATCTGAAGTTTCTTATACTCTCTAATTTACTGTTTGAAATAAAAATTACCAAAGAACCCCCCCCCCCCCCAAAAAAAAACAAACAAACAAACACGCAGAAAAAGTACAGTCGAGTAATTATTTCTGTTTCCTAGGTTTTGTCACATGAATCCAGATCCCACGTGCAACTCTTGTTTTGCTGAGGGTGGGTTGTCCATAAACCACACGGAAATGACGTCATCAGTGGCTAGGGTTTATCAGACCGGTCCACAGAATACCATGTCTGTCTTTACGTCCAGTCCTATGACCCTGCTGGAAGGAGATTTTGGAACAGATTTTAGATAGAATAAGTGAGACATTCTTATGGATTGTACTACACTATTTCGTCATGATTGATGAATGTTGAATGTTATCTTTCTGTGTTCTCTTGAAATGTATATATGGTAATATGGATTGGATAAACTCAAACAGAAGTAACAACAACTTTAAAATTGTTTTGAATGAGTATACCTTTAGGGAATAAAGGACACATATGTACAAAAATTAGTGGGGTTTTTATAGCTTTGTTTATTTTCTTCGAAAATGTTGATATATTTGATGCACAAGGTATATTCTCTGGTCAAAGACACCTGAAGAGTATGTGATGACAAGGTGTGTGTAAGTCATAGTTTCGTCGAGAAAATGTAAAATGTCTACACGATAGACCTCATTTTTACCCTACAAAATCTCTAGAATCCAGGAGCTTCCGGGAGCTACGCCCCCTGGGAACCCACCAGGGCTTCGCCCTGAAGCCACTTGGGGGCTCAAGGCGGCCCCAGACCCCCTGCCTACTTTTTGCGCCCACTCTAACTTCAATTCCTGGATCCGCGTTCATCAACCCTCTGCTCATATGGAATTTTCCTTTAAGGCTTATGATTTTCCAAAAGAAATCTAATTCATAATTTTAAACAAAACACAATTTCAACGTACTGTGCCCAGGCAGAATGAAATGTCCTTGTAACTTGAAACTTTCTGTAAGGATTCATAGAGAGTTATCCCTCTTCAGCGGAACAACGAACCGAAAATTAGACTTTCAGAGCAATACGCCTTATGTTTGATTTCAATAAAATTTGATAAATAAACAAACTATAGCATTAATATATATATATATATATATATATATATATATATATATATATATATATATATATATATATATATATATATATATATATATATAACTATATATATATAATTTAATTTTGTTTGTATTCTAGCCTCTGATTGGTTAATATCCAAAAAGGAACACAAATTATTTCTGTATAACCTGGTTTGGTATGGGGACACACCCCCCTGACAACCAGCTGAATCATCTGTATGCATACAATCCTCTCATTTCCAGTCCTCGGGATTCATGGAAAATTCCAGATTTAATAAATATACCTTTAACTTCAAACAATAATTCGATCTTACCACATGTAAACAAGCTGCTAGGCCTATGTATCAGTTTTTACCTCCCCTCGCTTCCCATCACTTCCGTTACTTCCGTTACTACGGTTGTATTATTGAGCGGCAAATTTGAACTCATAAAAAGCAACGAAATTTTACACCCATATTTATTTAATGATTTTAAAATTAAATTATAAGGAATGACTCTAATTCTTGGCCAAATTATTCGAGTATAACCTGGTTTGGGTCAGTTTACGCTGTTTTATAATCCGCTTCGCGGATTATAAAGCGTAAACTGACCCAAACCAGGTTATACTCGAATAATTTGGCCAAGAATTAGAGTCATTCCTAAAATAATTTAATTTTGTTTGTATACTAGCCTCTGATTGGTTAATATCCAAAAAGGAACACAAATTATTTCTGTATAACCTGGTTTGGTATGGGGACACACACCCCTGACAACCAGCTGAATCATCTGTATCCATACAATCCTCTCATTTCCAGTCCTCGGGATTCATGGAAAATTCCAGATTTAATAAATGTACCTTTAATTTCAAACAATAATTCGATCTTACCACATGTAACCAAACAACATGGCTGCTAGGCCTATGTATCAGTTTTTACCTCCCCTCGATTCCCATCACTTCCGTTACTTCCGTTACTATGGTTGTATTATTGAGCGGCAAATTTGAACTAATAAAAGTAACGAAATTTTACACCCATAGTTATTTAATGATTTTAAAATTAAATTATAAGGAATGACTCTAATTCTTGGCCAAATTATTCGAGTATAACCTGGTTTGGGTCAGTTTACGCTGTTTTATAATTCGCTTCGCGGATTATAAAGCGTAAACTGACCCAAACCAGGTTATACTCGAATAATTTGGCCAAGAATTAGTGTCACGAGGGGTTATCAAAAAGTTCGTGGACTGACGCGATAAAATTAATAATATGTAGTCTTTGCTTACAAAATTTATGCGGAACATAAAACAACAAAAGTTTAAGAAATGTTGAAAATTTTAGCTTGATACGTTGAAAATTTGCCAAATTATTCTGAAATTAAAAAGACTTTATGTGATCACCCGGCGCTGTCGCCGTTTAGTGTCATGACGTCCGCTTAACGTCATTGTTTCTTACTGTCCGCTCTCTCTACCTCATACACTTATCTTAATGAGATTACCTGGAGTTAAGTAAGGACTTAAACTCGTCTTATTTATATGAATTTAAAATGTCATGAGCAGCTTTTTTCAATGCATATAATATTGTAAATGGATCTTTATATGGGGAAAGATCCTCACTTGATTATGCCAGAATACTTAGCTTGTTGGAGTTCAATTTCTACCACACATGATCAACGTCACTTTTCGACGTGACTGACTTTTGACACCCTGACTACAAATCGACACTAACTGTGCATATTTCATCTCTCTGAATCTTTTTGGGCATTAAAAAACAAGTACTCTGGATGCATTTTATTTTTCTGTAGCCAGTTTAAAATTCCTTAGGTCAATACCAGTTTTTCCAGGAGCGAAACTCTATAGAGTGTTTGAAAAAGAAACCCCTCCCCCCTTTTGACGTTATTTTCAAGCCCATAATTCTTTGGACACTCCATATAAAATTTACGATAAAATTTCATAGAAATTACAGAATGGGGTAAAAATTGCAAATTTTACTGAACAAATGTGTCGTACCACATGCCTGAATTAACGAGATTTTTTGATGACAAATACTCATATCTAAAGAGTTTTTCTCAGTTACAATCAGGTAGAAAAAAACGTCATATTAGAGGTTGCGCCGCCTGGACATACCTTTGCTTACAAAAACACTAACAATTTATTAAAAAATAAAAATTATGATTTATGGTTTATTCTATAGATAGAGAAGATGATGCTAACTTAATGTGTAAAAATTCATTGATGTACCTAAAGCGGTTTTAATTTTATGACGCTAGTCCACGAACTTTTTGATAACCCCTCGTATATATAGGAAAGAACATGTACATTACAATGTACTTTCCCAATATTATTTTTCCAAGATATTTTAATTCAAAATCATTCTTTAACCCATAGTATAAGAACTCTGCTCGCCGACTAGAAAATTCGACTCACACCATGAAAAGGTATGTACCAATCTCGGGCAGATAGGAAATTTAAAAATGAGTGGGTTTTAAAATTCAGTTATAATGTTTAAACATTGCAGTGAATAAATGAAATTTGTTTATGTTTTATTTTTTCAATAATAACATTACGATATCTTCCGCTGTATTTTTAGGAACAGATTTTTAGCCGCTCAAAATTCAAGAACACGTCCCGCATGAGATTAGTACATACCACTTCATTGTGTGAGACGAAGAACTGCGAACGATAGTATTGTTCTGCCGCCTACTTCCAAGTCAATTTTCAAAAGTTGACGTATTTGAATGATTTTTCATATTTATATTTATGTGAATTTTCATAAAACATAACTTATTTGGGAAAACAAAGAGAACTTACTCTATAATTTGGTAAAACGTGTTATTCACTATAGAAATCAACGGAAAACGGAAATTATTTTAGAAACACCTCCCCCCCCCCCCCCCTCGTGAAACAAAAATTCCTTTTCACCGGTATAACAAATTGTTATTTCACAAATTCATACCAAAGCTTTTGTTGTTTCACGGTGGGTAACATATATTTACACACAGATAACAACAAAAGTGGTCTTTCTCCTACCAATTTCAAATGAGATTACAAATAAATTATGTACTCTATTAATCATACATGTTGAATTTTACATAAGTTAAATAAACGAAAAGATTTAAGGGTCATATATCCATTTTCGTGAGTATTTGAAAATCTGGTGATGATAAAAAGCCTGATTTCAATGGGGAAAAATTACCCCCCCCCCCTTATGAAAAGACTTGTAAATAAGAGCAATTAACTTTTTGACATTGTTTTAAAATTATTAATCAAAAAATCTTAATGAACTCTTCTTTGCATTCAAATAAGTTTTAATGGCCAAATTGCCATTTATATTGAATTAAATAGGCTTAAAATGAAGGCGGGAATCGAGAGTTAGCGTTTATAGTTCTTTCCCCGTTGGCGAGCAGTTTTTACGCTTTTTATGCAGATAAAAGAAAATAAAGACAAGCGTGCCATATATGGTTGTGTAGATAAATTATCGTAAAAGACAATGGTAATAAACAGTTTGTCAGTGCATTTTGGGGAGGGGGGGGGGCTCCATGTAATATTCGGAATTAGATATCTTGTGTGATTATTATACTATGGGTTAATTAAAATATTTATCACAGAAATAAGTGCCTGTGGTATACCATCAGATATTCTTAGAACAAAAAAAACAAAACAATACAAAACAAAAACAAAAACAAAACAAACAAACAAACAAATCAAAAAAAAAAAAAAAAAAAAAAAAAAAAAAAAACATACGTTATCAGGAGTTTCGAACAGATATGAAATTATGAAAATCGTTGGTTTTTTTTTTGTTTGTTTGTTTGTTTGTTTGTTTGAAGAAAAATTGACAAAAAATAAAGTTTTAGCTGGTATGTCCTTAAAATTTGATTCAGAGGAGGTGTACAGCATGCATTACCAGGCATCATATAATCACACAAATGTCCTTCAATTGTTGAAACTCTAAAATTATATACAGGTACCTCTTGATGCATATATACAAAATTTCGAACAAAAGTTCTTACAACTTATGAAGTTATAACCTTAAATAATAACAACTGTACGTTTAAGCTCACCTGAGCTGACAGCTCAAGTTAGCTTTTCTGATCACATTTTGTCCGGCGTCCGTCCGTCTGTCTGTCTGCAATCGTTTATTATTTTCGATTTCTTCTCCAGAACAATTGGGCTTGTTTCAACCAAACTTGCCAAAAAGCATCCCTTTGTGAAGGGTATTCAAATTTCTTCAAATGAAGATCCCCACTCTTTTTTAAGGGGAGATAATTAATTAAGAAACAGCGAGAAATTGATGATATCTTTCAAAAATCTCTTAAGAACTACCAGGCCAAAAAATATGAAATCTGTATGAAAGCTTCATTACATCGTGTAGATTCAAGTTTGTTCATGTCCCAATAGGAGATTAAAGTTTTGCGTAGGG